GCTTTATCCTTCTCTGAACCATAGCTTCTGTGTGCTAGCCCTGAGGAAATACTTTCCAGAAGATTTTACCTTAGTGATGCTGGTCTCTTCTTAATCATAGCTAAATTTTCAACTTTCAGCCTCAGGTAACCAGCATCGATTGTCCCAGTAAAGCAAAGATTTCACTTCAGTGGTCCTGGTCTCTTGTTAATCACAGCTCCAATCAACCAGAATCTACTGATTCTCAATTCAAAATATCGCACAAATTACCTGGATAGAGACTTTAAGGGACTCTCAAGCTTCCATCTGACACCTCACAAGCCAGGCCGCCGTCACCTGTATTTCTTCAAGCTTCCTAAAAACCTCTAAGCTCCAAGCACTCAATGGCTTTTCCAGCCAAAAGTTCTAAAAACAATCCTCCCAAAATAACATGATCAGATCCATCACAGCAATACCCTGTGATCCTGGTACCAGCTTTTATTACAGTTAGCTTTCTATTGCTGTGATAAAACACTCTGACCACAAGCAGTTTGGGGAGGAAAGGGTTTATTTCAGCTAAGGGTACAGTTCTTCATTGAGGGAAACCAGTGCAGGAGCTCAAGCAGGACCTGGAGGCAGGAACTGAAGCAGTGGCCATGGAGACATGCTGCTCACTGGCTTACTTCTCTGCCTTGCTTTCTTTTTTAATATTTCATTTATTATTTTTTATTTTATGTGTATGACTGTATTACCTGCATGTGTGTAAGTGCACCTGTGTCATTCAATGCCCAAGGAGGTCAGAAGAAGGTGTCGGATCTTCTGGAACTGGAGTTATAGATGGTTATTAGTGATCATGTGGGTGCTGGGAATCAAACCCAGGTCCTTTGTAGAGCAGTCGGTGCTCTTAACTACTGAGCCATTGCTCCAGTCCCAAGCTTGCTTTCTTATGTAGCTCAGGACCACCTGCTCAGGGCTGGCATCACCCACAGTGGGCTAGGCCCTTCCATATCACTCAACAATCAAGAAAGTGCCTCACAGACATGTCCACAAGCCAGTCCAATAGAGGAAATTCCCAAACTGAGGCTCCTTCTTCACAAGTGTGTCAACTTAACTGAAGCTATCCAGCTCACACTTATTTATATGTATACATGTAAACAGCACAGGGTAGGATCCACCTATGAGGCAGAGCGTGTGGTTTTTGTCTTTCTGAGTTTGGGTCACCTGGCTTAATAATACACTTTCCAGATCCATCCATTTTTCTACAAATTTCATGGCTTCATTTTCATGATTGCCCCAAATTAGAAACAATGGAAATATGCAGCTAATGAGTAAGTAAGCAAACTGTTGTACACACACAATGAACTACCACTCAGAAACTTAAATGATGTATGCAAGGATGAAGTTTGGATGTACACTCCTGTAAAGAGCTGGTCTCAAAAATCATCGTATGATTCCATTTATATAATATTCAGAAAAAGACAAAATTATGGGGGCACAAAACAAATTGGTGGTTTCCAGGAGCTGAGAGTGGGCATTTTACCACAAAAGGATAGGAGGGGGCATCTTAGAAGTGATGGAACTGTTGTTAGTGTTGACCATGACAGCTACTACTTATTGGTTTGCCAAAACTCATAAAATTGTATCCATTCAAAGTAAATTTTAAAAGTAGAAAACTCAGGTGATACAGCCACAGAAGTAATATCTGTGTGACGAGATGAAGAGTCTTAACAAATGCTGCCTGAGTGGCTGAAGAGATGGCTCAGTGGTGGTTAAAAGCACTTGCTGCTCTTCCAGAGGACGTGAGTTCAGTTCCCAGTGCCACATTGGGCAGTTCAGAACCATGTGTAACTCCAGTTCCAAGGGATCTGACATCCTCTCCTGGCTTCCACAGGCACACATACATATAGCACGCGCACACACACACACACACACACACACACACACACACACAAATAAAAAATAAAAAATTTAAACTGACAAATACTGCTTAAAAATGACTAAGATGGTAAATTCCATGTCATGTGCATTTTACAACAATTTAAAAAATAATTCAAAGAGCCAAATGTGGTAATGCAGGACTGTAGTCCCAGCACTCAGGAGGCAGAGGCAGGAGGATTACTAGTTCTAGGATAGCCTGGTCTACATAACAAGACTTATCTTTGAAAAAGTCCTTAGGGTCTGGAGAGATGGCTCAGTAGCTAAGAATACTGGCTACTCTTGCAGAGGACCAGAGTTCAATTCTCAGCATCCACATGGTGGCTACAACTGTCTATAACTCCAGTTCCAGTGGATCCAATTCCATATTCTGGCCTCTGCATACCTTGCATGACATGGGTGCACTTACATACATGCATGGAAAACACTCATACATATAAAATAAACTGAATTAATTAAATTAAAAGACACTCAGAATAACAAAAATAATGTTTATATAATGAGCTATAGGTAATCACTAAAATTTTTTTTCAAAGATATCAATGAAATGGAAAAATGCTTAGGGTTTTAGATTAAAACAAACAAAAAACTGAATTAGTAGTTTGCATTTCAACTCTGAAAATGAATTCTGGTGGAAACACTCAAAAATTAAATGTCAAAATATGCTATTTATACATGTATGCATTTTACTAAAACAGTGTTTCATGCAGGCAAGGTTGGCTTCAAAACTGTATGTAGCTGAGGGTAACATTGAAATTCTGATTTCCCTGCCTCTACCTTCTGTATGCTAGGGTTACAGGAATGCACCTCCATGTCCTCTTTATGTTGTTCTGGGGATCAAACCAAGGGCTTTGTGCCCGCTCGACAAGCATTCTACTGGTTGAGCTGTCCTCCCAGCCCTCTTACTGTCTTTCACTTATCCTTTTTGTAAAAAGAGAACCACCAGAAAGTATCTTCAGTGCAATATGTGCTGCACATTTTGTTATTTTATGTGGGCTCAAGATCCATCTTCAAAATTTCTGTTCTCAGGGGTAGGGAGATGGCTGCAGGAGTATGGGGGCCAGATTTCAGATCCCAGCAGCCATGTAAATGCCGGGTGGGTGTGGCAGCTCACCTGTCATCCCAGTTCTTGGGAACAGAGACAAGGAGCCCCCAGAGCAAGCTGCCTTTCTAGACTATCTGAACTGGTGAATCCTGGGTTCAAATGAGAGACCTCACTAGATGGAAAATGATCAAGGAAGACACCAGACATCAACCTGTGGCCTCCACATGCACACTCATATGCATATGTGCCCACATACATGCAAGCACACATGTATATATGATATACACATATACATGTCAAGATAAAAACAAAAATGAAATTTTCACAAGATTAAATATTGTAAAGAACTGCACTATTAGGCAATTTTACCATTATGCAAACATCATAGCATGTATTTACTCAAACCAATAGCTATGACAGAATCACATTCATATATGTGGTCTATTGTTGACAGAAGTATTGTTTGGAGGATGAATGGGACTCTATTAGGTTTCAATTCAAGAGGATGATTGCCACCTAGGCTTAGCTTTCATCATCTCAAAACTGCCATTTGTCAGGAAAACATAAGAGAAAAACCTGCATGCCTCTCCACTGAACAACTGGGAAAGGCCATTAATAGATCATGCATCTTTCAAGAGCTTGTAAGCTATAGAGCAGCAGTTAGACTGAGGAAAGTACCTACAGTGTGAAATTCCAACATCAAAATGGCAAGTCTGTCTGGAGAGTTAGTGACTGGTACCACGGCCCTGGCTGGAGGGAGGATGACTTGTACCTTTTCTATACTAAAATTTTAAGATATTCTTTAAATAAAATGAGAATAATATTGAATTTGCCAATAAAGAAACCTAGAGCAGTTTAGAACATTTGAAAATCATTTATGAATACAGCAGGTTCTTAGACTACCAGAAACAGTAACTACTGTTTAATTCTTGAAGTTGTGCAAATGTAGTTATGTAAGTGTTATTCACTTTAGTCAAATGAGGGGGTAGTCTCTCAGGCAAATCTAATATTAACACTCCTATTAGTTGGTTATTAAGAATTACTGTAATAGATGACCTTTAAGGAACACCTACATTGTATAAAAAGCAGCACACACTATGTGTGATGGTTTGAATGAAAATGTCCCCCATAGGCTCCAAATATTTGGACATTTTGTTCCGAGATGGTGGTGCTGTTTTTTGAGGTTTTAGAAGGTGTGGCTATCCTGGAGGAAGCATGTCACTGGGGGTGGGCTTAGAGAATTCTTAAGCCTTGCCAGATCTCTAGCTGCTCTCTTGCTTCCTGTGCCTGCCTGTGTGATGATGTGAGAGCTTAGCTTCTGCTGCTCCTACTCCAGCCACCTCCAGCCACCATGCCTCCCTGCCATGACGGACTGTAATTCCCCTGGAACCATAAGCTCAAATAAACTCTTCCTTTTATAGGTTATTTTGGTCAGTGTTTCTATCACAGCAACAGAAAAGCGACTAATATACTATGGCAATGGCCCTTAGATGATTTTTATACCTACCAGTTTTGGTGCCCCACAAAATCTGCCCTCACACTATTTTGTAACATTTATTATGCTGATGGTTAAATTAAGACAGAAGTGTTGCTTCAATCAAATTTCTAGCATAGATAGCTGTGATGACTAGGGGAAAGGGAATGTTTCTGGTTGCTTCAGGAAGTGGGGAAAAGAAATTTGCTGGTGGGGACAAGTTCACAAATGCTTGTACATGCAACTTACCTCTTTTCCTCATAGGGAGAAATACACATGCACACATACACGTACACATGCACATGCACACATGCAATACATTAAGTAATAATGTGGACCTTGGGATAAGAATAGACTCATTGGATCATTATGTTAATCAACTAAAGAACTCATTCTCTGTTTTATTGACACCTCCTTGGGAATTTTTTTTTTTTTTTGCTCCTGATCCTTGGAAATTTCTTAGAATTTGGTCTTTGAATCTTTGAGATACTATGCACTAGTAAAAAATTTATAGGGAACTAGTACCTTGTTTTGCATTTTTTATGCTCATCACCTCCAATAAAAGTCATTGTTTCCTTTTTCCTTTAGGAATTGTGAAGGACAGAACATCCGATACAAGACATGCAGCAATCATGTAAGTGCCAGAAGAGCATGTGATCCAGTGAAGTCACATCTTAAGTTATAATATTTAATACGTCTGATAAAACTGATACCTTGGGGACCCTTATGAAAAGGTTGAATTCTTTAATTAACAACAGCTTTTGTATGTCCAGTAACTCTCATTTATATTTATATTACCTTTTTTGGCCATTCCATGTTTTTGATGGAACTTGGTAAGTATTTAATAAATCCTGAATTTGTGGAAACAATACGGGTAGGTTCAAGGTCCTTCAGAGCTCAAAGTGCATTGGGGTCAGGCTCTCACCTGACCACATGGTTTCTGAGACACAGATCTGTAAAGTGTGGTGATTTCCTCTTATTCCTGAGGGAACTAGGGCTGAGGGATACAATTATTTTCTGAAGGTCTCAAAGGAAGACTACAGACTTGAACTGATCTAATGGTGTTTCTACCTGTGGCAGCTATCTGTTGGACCAAACACAGAGAGTGCCGGGTGACTCAGAAGGTCACACAGAGAGATTCATAAAAACCTTACTGTTTGTTTTTTTTTTTTAATTCAACACTGCAACTGGTTTGAGTATTTTGCTTTGTAATTATAAAATGTAAACTTAGGGGCTGATGAGATAGTGGATATAAGGCTTGCCTTACATGAATGAGGACCTCAGTTTGATTCTCCAGATCCCATGTGAAAATGCCAGGCATTGTGATGTGGGCCTGTAATCCTAGTGCTGGAGAGGCAGCTCTTGTTGGTTTGTAGGTCACCTAGCTTAATTGGCCAGCTACAGGCCAACAAGATACCCTGGTGCTAAGGAGATAGATAGCATTTCTGAGGAAGACACTCAAGATTGTCCTCTGGCCTAGACACACACACACACACACACACATACCCCAAAAATGCAAAATTAATATAAGGAACCGATATTATTTTCCACTCAGAACATTTCATCATTAGTAAAACATAATCAAAGCAAAATGACAGAAATCAAAATGAAGTTCTGGCAATTTGGAGAACTCTTCTGAAGATTTAGTTGTTCTCTTAGAAAGGAGTTTGGAGATGTCTCAACTTTGTTAAGTGATGAAATGATGCTCTAGGCAGCAGGAACAAAGGTGTTGTAGCATGTGGAAAACCAAGAGTTGCAGAAATAGTTGGAAGAGCATTATTCTTTAAGCTACCTTTGTAGGCCACACTGGAACAGCAGGATACACCTGAATGTTCAGTTAGCCAGGCAGGAAAAAGAGGGAAGGAACTGGGTGAGGAACAGCTGAAGGGAAGTCAGAGAAATGAAGTCCTTTGTGCCCATCCATATTCCAAACCCTCAGCCAGGTAGGTCCTCTACACAAGGGAGGAAGACTAACCCCTACGGACACAATTCAAAATTCTACCCACCAGGGCAAAGCCTGTCAACATCACTGGCTCTTCAAACTTAAGGAAAAGGCAGATGCTCTTTTGCTAGGAAGTCTGGGTTGATGGGGATCATGCATTCAGTACCCATAGATGAAGAATTCTCGCCCTTCACGTGCAAGAGACTGTGTTTTAAATGGCAAGAGTGGGAGACTAGATCAGGGCACAGGGATCATACCTCTCCTCAGGAAACCAGGATGTGGTTCAGTGGTTCAGGTTCCCTGTCAGAGGAGATGGGGCTTTAAGCCAAAAGATGAGGGACTAGATCATGTCTGTGTGCAGTGTGGTGACTCCCAGGTGATTGCTGTCTTCAGACATAAGCTTTGATTGGCATTCGGCATATATCCTTAGAGCCAGGGCCTGGCCTTCAGGACTTGGGAAAGAATTATCCTTATCTGGGGTCTATCCGAGCAAATGGGAGTTTGTAGGAGAAGTCATGCATGTCAGCCAGGAGTTCTAATACCTGAGTTCATTGACTGCTCGTGTTCTGTTAGTGCAGCGTTTATGGGATTAAAGGTGATGCTGGAAGAAGCAAAGAGAAAGTGTCTTTAAAGCCATGCAGTACATCACAACCTGGCAAGAGCGTCTGTGCCTCATGAGTGTATTTTTTATGAGCACAGTTTACTCTGCACAGTGGGCTCTCTGATAGTTTCTAGAAAAACTGACATTTGATGTAGTCCTTGATGAACCCTTCCTTCAGACCACACAGGCTATGAATGGATAATTTCTAGCAGTTTTTCACTCAGTATTTCTCTTGGAGTTCTTTTCTTTTTATTACTGTTGCTTCTACTCTGTATAAGAGCCATGTCCTGGGGCTGGAAAGATGCCTTGGTGGTGAAGAACACTTGCTGCTCTTTCAAGGAACTGGAGTTTGGTTCCCAGGACCCACACAACCTTCTGTAACTCGAGCTCCAGGGGATCCAATGCCTCCTAATGGCCTCCATGAGCATCTGCATACACACACACACACACACACACACACACACACACACAAATTATAAAATAATCAAAAATAAAAGCTATGTTCTCTCATATCTGTCTCTAGACATGAGACTAGACTAGACAATTTTAAGACTCACTGCAATGCCTTGAGGTAGGACCTAGCTAAGCTACACTGAGAAGGCTGAGTGTTGATGCCAGAAGGATATAAAATCAATGGAAGCATTTAATTAAGCTGCCGTTGTCCCCACATTTACTAGAAAGCAGTGTCCATGAACTAGTCTAGTCAACATTTAGGAAACTTGAATACGTAATTATTCTGATGTCCTTTTTCTGAATTTTCTTTCTTCTGGACAGTTAAGTTCAAGACCAAAATACTTTTCTATTGAATATACTTTCCAAACTTTGCCCTGGGTCATATGCTTTGGAGAACATGAAAGCAAAAAATGCAATGCTGTCCCTCCATGGGGATATATACAAATTTAATGGAATTGAAGCAGGAGCAGGCTTTGAGACCTGAACCTAGGAAGTGAGGAGTGCAGGCTGCTTGCTCCTTCTGCTGAAATGCACAGCTTACCGGTTCTTCTCTTCCCTCCATATTTAACTCATTTTCCTCGGCTGTGGGAAGTGCCTGGCTTTGCTTAGACACGTGTCTCAAAAAAGAAAGGGCCATCCCAGCCCCAGATTCATGTGAGTTCTATTCTGTGGCTCCTTTGTTACAGTTTCAAATTCCTGGGAAAGCCTGAACTGGCATGGACCAGATGTGCCTCTGGTTAATTAATTCTGACCAAACAAGACAAACCTGGCCACCCGTTGGACAAGAACTAAGCCAAGGCTAACATCTTAACCTTCTGTTAATTAGCTCTCATTAATTTTTGAAAGTTTATTGGCTTATGGCAGTCAGAGTCAGTTAGCCAGCCCCTTCCAGCTCTAGAGAGCACTTGCCACATCTGTGAGCTCAAGTCAAAGGGTACTGTCTTCTCTCTGCTTTCAGACACACTTTTCTTAAGAGTTAGATAGAGAAAACTGACTTTGGTTGGGAAGAAAGGAGGTGATGTCATTTTATCATTGATTTCCTATGGCAGATGGGGGACAGAGTACTCATTTCCAAAGAGACATGTCATCCAACTTAGGTTTTCCTCAGTTTGACTTGCTTCATTAGGCAGGACCTGAGTTAAGATCTAATCCAACTAGGATTAAGAAAAATTGTACACTATAGGATTTTGGAATGTTTCACAACAATATGGTACAGTTAATCCCACAGGAAAGTGCTGATCATAGCCTACGTATTCCCTACCTACTTCTAAGGACTTGAGGAAGTTTACAAAGACCAACGGCATACACACAGTTGTTATCTGCCCTCAAACTGGGACAGTATCGACAGTTCAAGGAATGACTCATTCAAGTTCATCTTGATGAGTTGAATAAGTTTATTAAGTTACTTATGGAGTGGTAAATAACTATGGACAGCCACATTTCCCTGAAAGTCTCTAATCCCTACCCACCCCCTATTTTATACCATTCTAAGTTTACAGCAGAATTGATACAAACCTGGGTTCAGAGTTCTACTTAGTTTGACAGTCAGTAGAAGTGACACTGACTCAAACATAAAGCACAGACAGAGCCAGACTCTGGGAAAGTTATGTTTATGTGTGCTTGCCCTTATCAGACATTTGATGGTGTTGGCAAACACTGTCCAACTCCAGTAAGAATGATTTGTTTCGGAATGTCGAGCAGTTAAATGGTGGCTTGCTACAAGATAGAGTTAGTCTTGTAGGATTTGAAGGGCTTGTCTCTTCGACAGTAAGAAGAAATTTACTGTAGTTTAAAACGGATCCAGGAAAGAGGCTATGTTTTAGAAGAATGGTTGAAATTATTCACTTTTTTCAGGAAAAAAATAAAACTAGGTCTTGTTGTTTTTGTTTTTACCTCACAGCATTCATCTAAATCCAAATATAACAAAGGCAGAACCAGGAGGAACATACAAGTTTAAGGCCTGCAGGGCTGCAAAGAGCATCCCTCGAAAACAAAATGGAAAAAAAATCAAAACATAAAATTCAAAACCAAACTTCAAACACAAAGAGTTAAATGCCATTGCCAGCCTATAAAGGAACTAGAAAAATACATTTAATATTTATTTGTCCTCAGGGCAGAGTAAGAAAAGAATTTCTAGTCCATTAAAAAAGAAGTTTTAAAGGGAACTGTTAATAGAGCTGGCTACATAAAAATTTAAAACCTTTTTGACTTCACAAAGTACTTAAAGCAAAATTAACTGGTGAAAATATTCCTAAAACAAATGACAAAATCTGATGCCTTCACTGTGAAAATAGTTTTATCTGCTAAAAATAATAAAAAGACAGAATAGAGGATATAAAACAAGAGATTTTTGAAGAATTTGTCTAGAAAAAACCTGACAAGAATAGACATTAAACCCAAATAATAAAAAGGAAATACAAATAAAAGCAATGAAATTCTATCATACACTTTTGATTAGAAAATTATAATATCCGAACCTAGAAGAAGTATTGAGAAGGGCAACTTAAATAGCCCATTGTTAATAATAATGCCTTTCTGGAGGGCCAGTTGGCAGTATTTGAATAATCTGTATAATATGCATATACTTGGACTTAGAAATCTTTATTTCCAGAAATTAACCCTTAGGCGATAATTAAGATTTATATAAATCTTTAAGTATGAGGATCTTTGTAACATATTCTTTTTAATGGAAATAATTTCCTGAAGTTATTAGAATGAACATTATTTTCATAATAAGATAAAAAAGTAATATAAACAAAGTTTTAGCAAGTAAACATTTGTCTTATCCAACATCTTGCCTTGGAAATGTCCAGAAAGAGGAATGCATAATTTAATATAAAGACCCCTAAGTCATCAACATGTACACTTTTTACTGTTATTATGAGGGTGCCCTGGGGTGCTAAGACTTTATTTGCTTTCATAGTAGATAGAACTTTGCACTAGTTCGTTGAAGGGAGATATTTGATACCAGTGAAGGGCAATGGTCAGAGACAGAAGAAAAGGCAGATGAGTTGAACAGCAACAGAGGCAGAGAGACAGACACCAGTTCTCACAAAGCACAGAAGTTTGGACAAGGTCACACTCCTCCTTGAGCATTTATAGGCAGTTAACACTTCCTAGGGAGGGAAAAAAAGACATGTTAGAAGAGGGACTTATGAGGAAGGTGATAAATGGCAGTGAGAAGGGAACAAAGGACTAGAAAGAGCTGTGTATGCATACATGAAAATGTCATAATCAAACCCATTGTCATGTATAATGAATGTATGTTAGTTTAAAAATAGTGCCAGGTGTGGTGGCACACACCTGTAGTCCCAGCACTTGGGAGGCAGAGGCGGGTGGATCTCTGTGAGTTCAAGGCCAGCCTGATCTACATAGTGAGTTCCAAGACAGCTCGGGCTACAGGGAGACCCTGTCTCAAAAAGTACGAAAAAAAAAAAAAAAAAAAAAAAAAAAAAACCAGTATTTTGGGGCTAATATAGGGGTAATTGTTCCATCCCACTGAAATGGATCCTGAAGGCAGGTCTAAATACTCAGTGTTCCTATGAAGAACATGAATCACCTTGAAAATTTATAGTCCTTCATTTTCCTCTGTTTCAAAATGAAGGAGGTTGTATAGTACGTTTGGAAGTTTACGTACAACATCGTTAAACCAGGGCAAAGTTTAGCACCTAAATATGGTATGCCCTAATTATCTGGGGAAAAAGAGCTGGATGGAAGAGTAGTAAGATTAATGAGATAATCTCTGAGTGATTCATCATTGAAGAGATGCCCAGGGAATTCCACACTGTAGATTCAGTTTCTAATTTCAAAGAAGAGAAAGTGCTGAAAAAATGAGGCAAGTCTCCATAGAGACAGATGGGGTCTGGCTGATAGACAGGTGGGGTCTGGCCAGTAGAGACAGGTGGGATCTGGCTGGTAGATCCTAGCAGCCAATTCAACCTTTTATGGCCACTGTGGCTGGTTAACAGGCATGTGGCCCTTTCTTTCCACCTGCAGAACTGCCCAGCAGATGCAGAAGACTTCAGAGCCCAGCAGTGCTCAGCTTACAACGACGTGCAGTACCAGGGGCGTTACTATGAATGGCTTCCACGCTACAACGACCCTGCTGCCCCCTGTGCTCTCAAGTGTCATGCCCGGGGACAGAACTTGGTAGTGGAGCTGGCCCCCAAAGTGTTGGATGGAACTCGTTGCAATGCTGACTCCCTGGATATGTGCATAAGTGGTATCTGCCAGGTAAGCCACATCTGCCCTGCATGTCCTTGGTTATGGAGTATACCCTATCCATTCTCAGCAAAGTTTGAAAATATTTCTTGTTAGAGAATGTGAGGACTGCAGGGAAATGATAAGATCCCACCCCTGTTCTTTTGATCTCTGAGAAAGGATTTTAAAACCATGGATATCGAGAATTATAATCATATTTTTCTTATTTAACATAATGTGAGTTTTGACCATGCAGAATCAAAAAAACCATTGGTGACTCTCCAACTAGAACATGCAAGCAGAAGCCCCTTGAAGAGTGTGTGGTAGTGTAACCTCCTCCTTGCTCCAGAATTTCTGACTCAGCAGGTCGGAGTGAGGCCCAAAACTTTGTGTTTTACGAGGAGACACTGATACTTTGCCGTTGGTTCCAGGACCACTCTCTGAGAGTGCTGCACTGGGAAGACAATGCTGGTCTCTGGGAACAGGGACATATTTACTGGAATGCCAGCATGTCTGCATTCTGGCTGATGTGCCAGGCAATTTTGCAGAGTGTGATGAGTGGAACCAAGGCATGAACTCCAGTGGATTGCAGTGAGAGGATTTCGACAGGTTTTGCAACCCTGAGAGGACTGTGGGATAGAATTCCACCCCTTTCCTCTGATCTCTGAAGAACGTTTTTATTTTGTGTGTGTGTGTGTGTGTGTGTGTGTGTGTGCGCTCGCATGTCTGTGTGTTATATGTGTGTATGCACATGTGTGTATAGATGGGTGCACTGGTCCATGAACATTGAGGTTAGAGGTTGGCATTGGGTATTTTCTTCAGTTGCTCTTCACCTTATTTTTTGAGACAGAATCTCATTGAACCTACTTGGCTGGACAGTGAGCCCCAGGGATCCACCTTTCTTTATCTGCAGCCCCTGTCTATGCTCCCCCCCAATGCCAGGGTTACAGCCTGTGTCACCATGTCCAGCTTTTTACATGGGTCCTGGGGATCCAAACACATTTATACAATAAACACTTTGATTGTAGAGCTATCTTCCTAGCCCCTGAAGAATATTTTTAGAACAATAAATATCTAGTATCCCATCTCCTCCATTGGGCTTATGACAATGGCAGTAACCAAAGCAAGCATCCCAGCTGCCTATCCAGTGTCAGACAGTGCAGGGAGCCTCCGACTTAACATGCTGAGAGGCTGGCTTGATCTTGCTCCTCAAACCAGCTTCAACCTTGTTCATCCTTCCTCTAGAAATTCTGTAGCTAGTAATTCCAAACTGGTGGCATTCTTCTTCATGTTTTCATTTTTATTCTTTTATTTTACTAATTATTTTAGATAGCTTTAGAAACAGTAGGTTTCTTTATGACATGCAATACATGTGCTCCTATTCACCCCACAGTACTCTCTTGCACCCCCCATCTGCTGATTCCCCCCCAAATAAGCCCTGTTCCACTCCATGTCTTCTGTATACATTTGTGTTAAAATCTAGGTTCCACTTGGGAGAAAATGTGATAGTTGTCTCTCTTTCCCCCAACTACCCTGTCTTGTTCCTCCTTCCCCTGTCCTTTAGATCCCTTCCTTCTTCCAAACAGTCCTTCTATTGTTTTTAATGTGTGTGAGTGTATTGTCTGCATGTGTATAAGTGCCTCCGTGTCATGCAATGCCCGCGGAGGTCAGAAGAAGGCATCAGATCCCCTGGAACTGGAGTTACAGATAGTTGTTAACCACCATGTGGGTGCTGGGAATCGAACCCAGGTTCTCTCCAAGAGCAGTCAGTGCTCTTAACCACTGAGCAATCTCTCCAGCCCCAGTCCTTCTATTTTTAAATCATTTTAATTTTTTTACTGTTCTGGAATTGCATTTTTAGTTCACATTCGAATACTATTTTCACACATGTGTATCATTGTAGGTCACTCATATTCACCTTATGTTACT